CAGTCGGGTGAGGGCTCTCAATAAAAACCTTACATGCTACCCTTTGGCTAACCATTTTTTTTTTTTTTTTTTGCTTTGGTGAGAAATTGAAAAAAAATTAGTTTTGGGTTCTAAATGAACCAAACTTTCTTCAGATTTTTGTGGTTAGCCATGAAATAAAAAGAATAATAATTTTGCTCAATTCTACTTATTAGCATGCAGATTCAAATTTGAAATGAAGCTGTAGCTTGTAAATCGTAAAGTGGCTTTCCTTATTACTGCATAATTTATATAAGATTCATTTAGATAAGTCTGATTTACTAAATTCTATCTTCTGTTGCACCAGTGTAACTGAGTAGACTTTTAGCCCAGGGGTGGGCAAACTACAGCCCACGGACTACATCTGGCCCATCAGACCTTTAAATCCATCCCTCAAGGTCCCGTCGGCGAGCAGGGCTTGCCCCGCTCCGCATGTGGTGTGTCTCTATGCGGCTCCCGGGAAGCAGCCGGCATGTCACCCCTCCAGCTCCTATGCGTAGGGGCAGCCAGGTGGCTCCGCATGCTGCCCCTGTCCCAAGCCCCACCCCCACAGCTTCCATTGGCCGGGAACCATGACCAATGGGAGCTGCGGGGGTGGTGCCTGTGGACAGGGCAGTGCGCAGAGCTGCCTGGCTACGCCTCCGCTTAGGAGACGGAGCAGGGACATGCCGCTGTTTCCGGGAGCAGCTTGAGGTAAGCGCCACCTGGAGCTTGCACCCCTGAGCCACCCCCTGCACCCCAACCCCTGCCCCAACCCTGCCCTCCGAACCCCTTGATCCCAGCCCAGAGCCCCCTCCTGTACCCAAACCCCTCATCCACGGCCCCACACCAGAGCCCACACCCCCCAGCCGAAGCCCTCACCCTTTCCTACCCCCCCTACCCCCAATTTTGTGAGCATTCATGGCCCGCCATACAATTTCCATACCCAGATGTGGCCCTGAGGCCAAAAAGTTTGCCCATGCCTGCTTTAGCCCTAGGTTGTAAAATGTCTTCACTTGCTTCTGTGCAGCAGACTATGAATATGAACATAATCAAAAGAATTTCACATCTTCACCAGTTATTCTTTTGAAAGTTTTCTAGCTTCAGCAGATCATATGGATTCATTCTTTGTTTCATTATACTGGCACTCTCTTGTGTTTTTTAATTATTTTGTGAATTTTTAATCTGTCAGAGGTTGAAAGCCTCATAAAAAGACTCTCATAAGTGTTATGTAAATATGATGTCTGTACAAGTTCCCTAAAAATATGATTTTGATGCCATTATTTCCCCCAATCAGTAGATGTCAGAAATCTTTCTCTGTTCCTGTTAACTGTAAACAGAACATGTATTGTTTTGTTTTTTAAGATAAAAATGTGGCTGTTCAAATCCTGTGTAGCCTGTGTGGTTCCAGTGCCAAATCAGGAAACACTTGGCTTTTGAAGCACCAACGGTTACTGTCTAGAAGCCTCGTGACGGGCTGGAGTATGATATAATGAACTCAGTTCATCTGAGGAAATGTCGTGAAATTACTCCCAGCTTCTGTAGTGGGAGAAACTTTCTGTACTTTTATTCATAGCAGAAATCTATTATTAAGTACCCCTATTCATTAAAAACATTGTCATTTACTTCAGTGTACCTTGAGAATGCCTCAGCTATTCAACTGGGATCCAAACCCGAAGGTACCACTCTTTGAATGTTGATGTATGGTGTTCTTTCTGCTTCCTATGTATTTTCAAAATAGGTCTGTGACAAGGTGGGTTATCCCACATAATACATAGTCTCTCTAATATTGTGGGACTGACATAGCTACAACAACATTACTAGTATGTCAGATATATTTTGTATGCAAAGTTAAAGCTCTGTGTGTATGTGCGGTTTAATTTAGAGCTGAGTGGCCTCTACTAGCAACAGAAGGTGTTCAATACATTAAACCTGACTGACTATTACTATGTTGTAAGTCTCTTACACATCGTAAGAATAGTGGACTTCTGTTTTGCTTTTTTAAATAAACTGGGACAGTTTGCCTTCGTGATGTTTTTAAATTCCCTTTAGAAGCTTTATGAAGTTAGAAATCAACTTAATAAGGCATTACAGTTTCCCTATATATTTCACAGTGAAATCAAAAACCTATTTAGTTGTTTTTATGCCAATATGAAGCAAGTATGAATTTGTGCTTTTAGAAATCTTGTGAATAACCTGCTTGTAGTTTAATTTTTGGAGGAAACTGGAAACCTTTTCTGATTTTGTACTATATTTTGCTTTGGGGTCCATGCTTCCACTCAGTGAATGCAGTTGTGAATACTGAAGGGAGAATAGTCTACTAGGACTCTTTTTTGTAGCTTGTATTTTTGAAGAGCCGATCCAATGTTGCCATGGAGTTACTTGTGCCATTCTAGGCACAACCATAACAATGGTTTTCCTTTGTGCTGTTTTCTTTGCTGCAGCATGCATCATTTATCAAAACTGGTAGTCCTCCAAAGTCTAAACTTTATCAGCTCTGCCACTTTAAAAATGACAAGCAAAACTGTTATATACTTGATGATATTAATGCTAGACACCTACGCTAAAACTTTCACAAACACTACTTGAACTTGTTTGCAAGTCCTGCCAGTAAGTTTTAACATGTATTTTTCCCCACCATATTTGTCTTTAAAATGATCATATGTTTTCATCAAATACCATAATGGGTAGTTAAACTGGGATAAGTAAGGATTCCAGCATGAAAACATATTTGTAAAGCACAGAGAGATTCCTAACTTTTACTTAAATAAATAGATTAAAGTACCTATCTAAAGCTGGGTGAACATTTTGGGGTTGGTCTGGCACATCTCTCATTGAAGCTCTTACTCCCTATTCCCTTTGGCTTATGTCCCTTTATTACTTGGCAGTATTTTGATATATAAAGTGTTCAAAGTCCATATTACCAGTTTAGACATGAGGTCATTTTTGTATTAGCGCACAGACAATGATCTTTCTCCATTACAACACATCTGAGTAAGCTTATTTGTTCAGTCTCCATTTCTATGCAATTTATCATTGTACCCAATATTCCATGAAGCTCAGTTTCTTGACAAATAGCTTTTCAATTTACTTTCAGTTAACATGTAGTGTTTCAAAGGACTTGCAATTTCATGAGATACCTTCTCTGATGGGTATCCTTGTTAGAGTACGGTCTATTTGATGACCAAGTTCAGCACCATAGATTGACCCTGGAACCAATGCTAGGACATACTTCTAGCCCTGAAAGTTTTGTACTGGTCTATCGACTATTTTCGTTGGTGGACTGAAAAGCACTGCTGACAAGTAATTTAGTAATATTGTCAGTATAGTACTTTTCAGTAACTTAAATAAATGCTGTTTGGAGTATGAGGCAACATTCCCCTCAAGGAAATCCGAAAGGTCAGTTGAGACCTAGTCATAAGTAGTTTCTTTCTGTGGGCTCAAGAGTAGCTACAACAGCCCTATGAAATTAAGCATAGAAAATATTCCATTTCCTTAATAGTTTAGGCACTTGGTTTCATTTGTCCATTGTAGGTCATCTTACACTTGGAAACTTATTTTAAATTTGAAAGTATTTTTGAGAGGATTTATCAACACAAAAAACATAACTTTAACTAATTAGATGAGACGTGTGATCCTTTAAATTTTTATTCTGATTACTATCTTGCCTAATTGTCATCAACCTTTCCCCCCATCCTCCCCTGCAGCTCCAAATTTTAGCAGCTGGTACCTCATGAAACGACAAGAGTTAGATTTAATGCTTCATGATCTGAAAGCTTAGATCAGGGTGTCAGAGGGCTTTTACAGTAAACCATAATGTAGAGCAGGGGTCAGCAACCTTTGGCATGTGTCTCGTTGGGAAGTCGCGGCCAGCACATCCCTCGGCCGCGCCGCTTCCCGCAGCCCCCATTGGCCTGGGACGGTGAACCGCGGCCAGTGGGAGCCGCGATCGGCCGAACCTGCGGACGCGGCAGGTAAACAAACTGGCCCGGCCCGCCAGGGTGCTTACCCTGGCGAGCCACGTGCCAGAGGTTGCCGACCCCTGATGTAGAGAAACAATTTCAAAGGTGATGAGATACAGCGTTTAATACTATACTAAAAGAAGTAACAGATGGGTCATTCTGAATAGAAATAGGAAGCAAGTTCCACAATTAAACATCTCTGTAAGAATACCATTGCCATACATTGATCATATTGCATTTGAGGCCAAAACATAACTGGGAGCACTCAAAGAAATTAACATACTGAAGGGGGGAAAATTCACTCTAGTTAGTAAAGCTACCAGGTTTTAGTAACTGATGGAAAAAATCAGGATTTTCAGATAAGCACCTGCAACTCCAGTGTAGTTAATTATGTTGTGGCCAATAATGTAAGTTGTGAATGTAGCCCACTAGTTCTATGCACTGATAGGATTAACAGGGTAGCATTTTGAGGGACTACAAAATTCATGTGTATGATCAATATCCTTGAAATGTAGGCATCTTGCACTGTTGCCTTGTGTACGTGAAGGTTTGCACTGTACACCTTGCTCCCAAGGAAATCAAACCCACAATTTCCTCTGTAGCCGTACAAAGCACCACAATTAGACTTTGGAGCTAGTATGCCTGACTTACTGTATTAAAGGGTTTGTTAGTAGCTTAATTGTAAGGCTCTAGAAAAATACTTGACATTGTTTACCCATCTGAAATGGTGCATGCAGGATTCAGGAATGACTAGTTAAGTATTTCAAGGCATGAAGCTGGTGGCACATACTGCAGTAGCTAAACTGTTACTGGCATGAATATTTCTGTTGTCTAAGACTGAAATCTTATTGGGAACATCCTTGGGACTGTGCTAACAAAGTCTTTTCTGCCAAATCCACTTGAGGATAATGATTTTCTCTGACATTCTATTATTCAGAGTTGAATTCTAATCCATTTTTTAAAGGCCTTGCATGTTGGACATTTGTGGCTTTGGTCTTTAATTTCTGGTTTCCTTAATGAAGATTTTTAATTGTCACCCAGGTTCCTGATGTGATCAGCAGCATAAGGCAAGTGTCCAAAGCAGCCCTGAAAGAGGATGCCAAGCCTGGTAAGGATAGTGAAGATGCCTTCTACAATTCCCAAAAATTTGAGGTTTTGTACTGTGGAAAGGTGACTGTGGCCCATAAGAAAGCCCCCTCCACTCTAATTGATGAGTGCATTGAGAAATTCAGTCTACACGAGCGCCAGCGCCTGAAACTGTTGAGTGAGCAGCGGAGCACAGATTCCAGCTCCGACTTAACCTTGTATGAAGGAGACGTGCCAGCTTCTCTGTCAGATAGTCCATTTGAGGAGCTAGATGGCACGAGCACCACCATCGGGAACACTGGGATCCTTACAATTGGAGGCCAGACCAACCTGGCTGGCACCCGTGTCTCCTTCCCCGAGCGAATTTTGGAGGATTCTGGCTTTGAGCATCAGGAATTCCGCTCCCGGTGCAGCAGCGTCACTGCAATTATGCAAAGGAGGGTTCATGATACCAGCCTGAAAACACAGCCACGCAGGAGACATGCAAGTGCACCCAGTCATGTTCAACCCTCAGACTCTGAGAAGAACCGAACAATGTTATTTCAGGTAGGTGATATAGCAGTACCTGCAATTTCATGCATACAATAGAATTAGGAGAGCTTGACTTACACCATTATTGTCACTGCTGCATATTGAAACTTCTTATGCAAACAATTTCTGTTAAGACAAAAAACATTTGCTTTTCTATTTTGTATTACAATACATGAAACCATACTGGGAAACTCTAAATAATATTGAATAATTTGTATCCCAATTATTTTGGGGGAAGCTAAAGTTTAAATCATATAAGTTAGTAAACTTGAAGGGAATATAATTGCTTATCTGTTAATTTGACAATATAAACGTAATATTTAAGAGAACCATGTATTTTGTTTTAAAATCTGATGCTTGTATTCAGACTTTTTTTTTTTTTTCCAAGCCCTTTTGTGGATTGATTTCTCTATCCATAACATTGTTTAACAGAGCAAACAAAATCTCCCTTTTGTGTTATTAAAATGAACAAGCAGTTAAAGCTGTGAAAAATAATGTGCAGTTTGACTCATTCTCTTTTTATGGTAAATTTCAGTGATGCTAAGAAGTTTCTCATTTCCAGAATAGGAATAGTCTGTCTTGCACAAAGTCTGTTGAAAAATTATACTTCTAAGATCAGCTCAATAGCTTCATCCCCAAACCCTTTAGTCTTTTTTCTCTCCCCTGAAGTTCATTTAAATATTTCAGAGCATATGTGCTAAGGAAACAAGAGAAAATTATTAGAACAAGTGACCCAAAGATCTTTTGCTTTTTAAACTGATAGGCTGCTAAATACTTAGGAATTTTCTTTTCCCCCTATTTTAGAGAACAGACTTGCATTTTCATCCTCTTGAGAAACACTAACGGATGTGAGGAAATATATTGCCATTTAGAAACCCACAGCCCATCACTGGTGGTGAAAAGGTCTTAGCTGAAAAACCCCTCAAGCTCCATAGGAGAGCAGATCATGAGAAAGCGGAAGGGAAATTCACTGCAGTGAATAATCTGTTCTTGTTGACGATTAAAAAGAGGCTAAATGCATCACCTTTATTTCAAACAAACAACAGCAGCAAAGAACTGAAGACCCAAACTGTTGTTGTTTTTTGAATTTTAAAAAACTCATCTGGATAGTTATTTTTGGTGTAATAAGGCTTGTAACTTACCTTGATTGTTTCAGGTCAGTCTAACAGAGCTTTAATTAGGGCTGGTCAAAAACTGGCTGTTGATGGAATAAAACTTTTCATGAACTGTCCGCTTCCTGCAATCTTTTTTTGTTTTGTTTTACCCCCCAAACTGAATATTTTGCCATTTTGTTGAAATTTTCTGCAATTCCCCTCCCTCATTTGCCTTTTTCCATAAGTGCTAAATTCTGCCATCTTCGTTCACTGAGTAAGCTACTATTCAACGTGAGTAGCTAAAGCAAAGATGGCAGAATCTGACCAGTTATTGAACTTCATTTGGTGTATTATTCATTTTTGCCTTATAAAACAGTCTGATTTAAATTTTATTTTCAAGGTTGGACGATTTGAAATTAACCTCATCAGCCCAGACACCAAATCTGTTGTGCTTGAAAAGAATTTTAAAGATATCTCCTCATGTTCTCAGGTATGTATTTATTGGGTAGCTGTGATGGCTTTTTTTTTTTTTTTAGTCAGTGGGCAGCAGAAAGAGGCAATCAAAGCCTTTGATTATAGAAGATTAAATGAAAACACAATACAGAATATCCTTAAACATAGTGGTTGTACATCATATGTCTCTTTTTAAACAATTATACCTTTGTTTTAGTTAACACCCGTATAACTAGATTTTGGCTTTCTCTATAGAACCCTAATAAAAACATGGTAAGACACCTATTCTTTGCCCGCTCGTCCCCACCAGAGTACTTTGGAAATGTTAAATATAATCTATATAGAGTGATGTTTGAGGTAATCCTATTTTGAATGAGAACAACACACGCTACAGTTTAGACTTGATAAACCACAGTATAGTTTTGGGGATGGCACTGGAGGAAGATGGATTTTAAAATTTGATCAATCATCCAGTTGTTACCATTGTAGACAACAGGGGTGGACCCTCCTGGCAATAGATCAGGCAGCAGTCATTCAAAGTGTAGAAATTCTGTGCCTCCAAATGCCACTTACTGGTTTGTTTTAGCTCCCACAAAGTGCTAGGAATTGCGCAAACATAAAGGAAAGCACAGTCCCTGCCTCAAAGAGCTCACAATCTAAAGACATACACAGAACCAGTGAATTTCTGTGAATTGTAGCGGTAGTTCTGGTCATCATTCACCTGTAGCTAGATGTGAATTTCCTTAACTTAAGGAAAGAGACCACTCGGTTCAATTTTGTCAGCCTGAAATCTCCAGTTTGGAGGTGCTCTACGGTGGGGACATTGTGTTTCAGTGAGGGCTTTTGCGAGTAAGAGGAGTACAGCTGTTCTGCTGCCTCTGACAGGATACAAAGTGTCCCTCTCCCCAATGTGGGACTAGCTCTGCAGCTGAGGTTGGGACAGAGCCATGGTTTCTGCCTCATTTGGAGAATTTAGTAGTAGCAGCAACTCTAAAGTTTGGAATTCCAGTGGCAGAATTAGTTAGTGGGGCCCTATGCGCAGCTTCACTTTCGGGGGGCCCCCCTTGCGACCCAGCCAAGAAAAAAAATATTCTCTCTTATTTTCCCCCCCCCCCATTTTTAATTCTGTTTCTTCATCCTCCTCCTATATTATAAGTAATAGGAAGTAAATGAAAATAAAGTGAGGTACTTGATTGGGGCAGGGGGTTGGGGTGCAGGAGGGGGTGCGGGGGGTTGGGCTCTGGGAGGGAGTTTGGGTGCAGGCTCAGGGGGTTGGTGTGCAGGAGGGGTCAAGAGGGCGGCACGTACCTTGGGCAACACAGCTCCCAAAGCGACAGGCATACCCCTCTGGCAGTGGATCCTAGGCAAGGGGGAGCCAGGGTGTCTCTGTGTGCCGCTGCCCGCACGTGCTGCCCCCGCAACTCCCATTGGCTGCATCCCCCGGCCAATGGGAGCTGCGGAGTTGGCACTCAGGGCAGGGGCAACGGGTACACACCCACCCACCAACCCCAGGGGCCTCAGGGACGTGCTGGCCGCCTCCGGGTGCGGTGCGGCATAGAGGGAGGGAGGCAGCGCGGACAGGGAGCCGCCTTAGTCCTGCTGCGCTACTGCTGGCACGTCTCTGTGTGCCCCTTAGGGGGATTGGGCAGCGCGTCTCCGTGCACTGTCTGGGGCGGGGGCAGTGCGCGGAGCTGCCTCCCCCCCACCAGGGGCACGTAGAGATGGGCCAGTAGCCGGCTGTTTCCGGGAGCAGCGTGGTATTTGTCCTGCATTTTGGGGGCCCCATGCCACCACAGTGTTTGTTTCATGATAAATCCGCCTCTGCAGAATTCCATGTGGTCAGCACAAGAGCTATTAAAGGTCTCTAAATGCATTTTCTGAGGGTTCTTAGACCAGCATCTGATCCAAAGCACTCTTTTCAGATGTTAAAATTACACCATTCAAAATCTTCCCTTGTATCTGTGTTGCATGGCTACATAGCTTGCAAATTAAAACTGGGATTAGCATATACTGTTGCTTCCAATGGAGGGAAAAGGAGACTGCAAGAGGAATAGGGAAATCTGGCCTACGTAGGCAAATGATAAAGATGAAATCACAGATCAGGCAGGCACACAAGGAGGAGAGGTAGGAAAGAAGAGAACCTGTGGATGCCCTGGGTCCAAAATCTTTGTTTACCGGGGCAATGTCATGAGTGGCAGCTGCTAGTTTCCATGAGGGTCCTGGTAGACAGCAGGTGAACCCATGGGCAGCTCAGGAGAACAACACTGGCAGTGAAGTCACTGATATTTAACAGGTTTCAGAGTAGCAGCCGTGTTAGTCTGTATCTGCAAAAAGAACAGGAGTACTTGTGGCACCTTAGAGACTAACAAATTTATTTGAGCATAAGCTTTTGTGGGCTACAGCATCCGAAGAAGTGGGCTGTAGCCCACGAAAACTTATGCTCAAATAAATTTGTTAGTCTCCAAGGTGCCACAAGTACTTCTGTTCTTTTTACTGATATTTAAAGTATGGTAGGAACTGACCTAGTATCTTAGATAGTCCTCTTTGTTCTTGCTTTCCTCTTAACTGAGACAAGGTGAATGAGGTAATATCTTTTATTGGACAAACTTATGTTGGTGAGGAAGACAAGTTTTTGAGCTACACAGAGCTCTTCTTCAGGTCTGGGAAACTCAGTCAAAGCATCACAGCTAAGTACAAGGTCGAACAGATAGTTTAGCATAAGTAGTTAGCACATACATTCAGACTGTGTGCTATGTGCTAACTACTTATGCTAAACTATCTGTTCGACCTTGTACTTAGATACTTAGTGTCACAGCTTTCCCAAACCTGAAGAGTTCTGTGTAAATCAAAAGCTTGTCTCACCAACAGAAGTTGGTCCAATAAAAGATTACCTCACCCGCCTCAACCCTGTCAGACCCAGGATATTAGAGAGACATCTACAACTTCTTCCAAACTGGGCATTTGTAAGCAATAAATCACTTCAGACTATGTTTCATGCTGGTGTTTATGTAGTCTTTCACTAGAACATAACTTGAGTGGGTGGGGAAAAATAAAAGCCTTGTTGAGAACTAAACTGAATAGGTGCTAACAAAATGTTCTGTGTTTCCAAAACATCTGTGGCATATTAGTGAAAGAGTTGGTTTAAAAAACACAAAACAAACAAACAAACAAAAAAAGCTTGGAATATTTACCTTTATGAGCTTAAGATTGATATGAAATGAAAGAGCAACAATCTCTCCAGAGTGTATTTAGGGTTATTTTACTTCTGCCCTAGTAAATGTGTTGCTTTTCTGTGGCATGAGTATGCTAGGGTGCTTCATTTCAGACCGGAAAATGCATGTCCTGAATTTGTATAATTGACCAAGCCACAAATATAAATGATATAATTTTATATATCTATATGTATAATATATAATCTTAAGTGTCACAGACAGCTGTGTGGGTTTCTTGTTAAGCCTCATTGACCTTGTGGGTAACCCAGAACAATAAACAATCATCACATGTCCTGTTGGTATGACAAGTCGAGACGCCCTGTTAGAGAACAGTGCTGGGAGTACAGTTAACAGACAAGCTTGCTGTGCTATTTTCAGGTACAGTGACGCAAGTGTCATCCCACCTCCCCCATACACCTTCCCCTATGCAAGGAAACGAGAAAATTCAGAAGACAGCAATAGATTTTGCTGTAATTCTTCCTAGATTTGTGTTAAAACAGTTTATGCTGAGTCTGGGGACTGGCCTGCTAGGGACTCACTTAAAGAAAATATGTGAGTTTAACCAAAATAAAGGTCAGAGTGGTGGCCCTTTCGTATGTATAAAATCTATCCCTTCCTACTTAATGAATTGAAGGTCCTGAGCTGCCACAGGGGAAATGGTTTGAATTACCTCCCAGTGTTGTAAGATGAGAAGATAGGGGCTGATTTGAACAAAATAAGTCAGAGAGAAATGTAGCTAAGGTCAAATTTTTTCATGAGGAAAGAAATTGAGCCTTATTCACTGCTGTTGCTTTAGGGTTTGTATTTTTTGTTTTGTTTTATTTTGTGG